CCAGCTAGAGCACCCACCGAAAGGACAGTACATCTACTCTTCCGCTACAGCATCTCGATCACGATCAACGCCATCCACGTACCACCTACAGACGCAACCCGCTCACACCACAACAACCGACAAATCCATTTCATCACCGTTGTTCATCAGCTCTAACACCGGACACGCCACTTGAACATCCAACAGCAGCACAAGCACCTGGCTACTCATCACTACAGTTATCCACACCGTAATTTCGACATCAGCCATTTTCCATCCAAGCTTCAACCTTGCTTCTGCGGAACTATCCTCGTTGAAGTAAATGTCACTGCAGTCACCTTCCGCTTCCGCCTACCAGCCACTTGGAAGATCCATAACGCCTTCCATACCAGCTTCTTAAACCCTATCAAGACCAAACACGCTCTACACCGAATGCCAACCACCGTCGTCGCCCGTCTTCATCCACGACATGGGACAACTACGTGCTTGGACATCATCGTCGTCAGCATGGCACTCTGGAGCTTCTTCTTTGCTGGAAGGGTTGTGATCCTTCTGAGGCTGCGTCTCTGAATTTGACATCGGTAACGCCGGTCGTCCTCTTCGCGACTACCTTGTCAAGCAGGGTGTTACGTCTACCACCCAGCTTTGAGGGGGGGAAGTGTGAGAGTACGACCCCGTTACACCAATTTCCCCTTTCCATATTTCCTATACATTTTATTCCTCTTTCACTCCTGATTCATTTGGTCTTTATCTCATCTCATTTGGTTTCCTATTCCTCCTTTTTCATTATCCTTTGGTTTATCCTGTTATTATAATTATATCACCGACCAGGCTCGGGATGTACTGGCGCGCTATATCTAGCGTAATCCTGCAGTAATCCCTTAAAGCCAATAGCCTCGCGTGGCTATACGCATGGTGATTCTATTTCTAGAAGGGTCTATTTCCTTTGGATAGGATAAACCTGGTTACCTGATGTAATATGGAAGTATAAAAGCCCCTTGTACTGATTGATAGTGCAACATTGAGTAAACCTTTCCTCGGGGACATTCAATCCTGTGACACCCTCCTAGAGGTGTAATTTGTCTTCCCTAGAGTTTCAAATTCGGCGAGTTTGAATTCCTGTACAGGAAGCCATTTTCGTGGTCAGAAATCACCCTCCACGATCTACGGAGGACGACCAGCAACTATCTTCGGTTCAAGTTTAAGTGTCATCACTGGGTCATCGCGAAAAGTCAACGACGAAGAGCTGAAGCAGAGAAGGAGAACGAGTGGGAACAGCTAGGAAATTTTGATGGAGTTAGCGGCAGACAGATCCCCCGACTGACTTGGCTAGGTTGCACGATTTTTAGCACCACCACCAGGTACTTGTTCAGGTTGAAGACTTCTCCGACGGTTTGGGCTGAATAAGGGTGGTGAGCCAACGGATCTTTCTGTGCTGGTGGATCGAGGAAGGAAAGTTTGGGCGCTACATGACACGCGAATGATTGGTGAAACTTGGGCGCTGTAAAGTGGGAGGTGCGTGAAATAGGTTAACAAAAATTGCAAAGGAATTTGGCGACGGTGACGCACAGTACAGTCGGACACGAACGGCTTGGATCCGTCGCTGAGAACGACGGAGTTGCGAAATTTTTGGCAGCATGTATGCGCTTCTGTTCGGAGAGCGAAGAACGTGGGCGCTGGGTGAACAGCAGCCTGCAGGCGTTTTGTCGTGAAGGAGCAGTTGAAGAAATTTTGCAGCAGTTTGGAGCAGATGTTTGCAGAAACGGTTCTTTTCAGGGAGGGGAAGGAGAATCCCTTACGTAAGCTGCAAAGAGGTTGCCCACGAATTTGACTGATAAATTCGCCCAACTACGATAGCGCTTGCGCTTACCTGAGTACGAGCACACGGCGGATTCACCTCTGCTCTGGAGTGTATTCATCAAATGGAGCTTCAGGACAACAAGGGTTACTGTTGCAGTGGGAGAAGCGAGTTGCTGTCACGGAAAATTTGGAGTCACGCGGGAAGGAATATTCCGGATTTGAGGGGCTATAATCGAGGATTCGGCTGCGAGGACTCATTCGTGGATTACCTAGACGGACGCAATGATGGGTGAATGTCGGCGCGTCGCTCAAATGTCGGGTATTTTCCGGGTGGGAATTCTTCAAGTTTTTGGCTGGAGCGGTAGGTGGGGTCACGGGTACCTACCGAGCTGTGCGATTGTTTAAATACCAGCTTGGTTAGTCGGTGAAACTGCAGAAATTGCGTTTTTCGTAACTAAGAACTGTACCCAAGTTTTTCTGGGGTACCTACCGTAGCCGCGCGAAAGGTGAAAGTCTGCACCGCAAACCGGTCAGGCTGAGTTGCGAAATTTTCTACAGAGGGTAACAACACGAAGCAGATCGACGGCAGTTGAGAAGCTGAATATTTATCTACGGCGTTGGATAGAGCAAGAGTCTACGTGGCGCAGCTGCCCTACATTATAGGGTCACGCTGAGACTGGTCACAACGAGCAGGATTTGAAGATACTTCAGTTTCTGGGTCTAAAGAAACTTGAAGAAGGGTATTTTCGGCATCGACGACAGAAGATTTTCTTTTCATGGAGGGGGGAGAGAGCAGCTGCGCACCAGTTGTTTTTTGGATTTTCCCTCGACAGTTTGGCATCCGCTGCATGAGCATCGACGAACAGATGTTGCTTGACCAATTGAATCGACGGACAGATTCGAGTTGGCATTTTGACAATTTCGCAGGTGTTTGAGAAAGTTGAAGGCGTGTTTACATGAACGGCTTGAGGCGACATCGACTATGGTTACTGGAATGATTAAGGTTTCGTCCATGGGCTGATGGACTTCGTTGACTTTCGTGAGACACGGATGCGTGCTTCTGACCTCGCATTTGACGAATGAGCTGGAGTTCGTTGACTATGCGAAATTAGGACGCGTGTTTATGCGCGTGTCACGACTCATAAGGGATTAAACGAGGAGCTATCTACAGTTGTGGAGCTACGGACAAGTTAGGCGCATGCAGAAGATTCTCGATGAAGGACTTGCTGAAGACAAGGATGCTGTCGTGCGGTAGTATCCCTATTGCCTGTTTGGTTATCTGGGTAATTCGACCAAGGTTCGACGGCTACGATCGACCGCGATCTTTTCGACGTGTTTCGACCGTTGGAAGGAGTTCTTGAAAGAATCTCGAGATTCTCAACATTAGTGTCTTCACTACGATGAGATTCAGTTAGAGTGTGTGTAGGTTTGTTGATTTGTGTGCTTATCTAGAAGGGGGGAGAGTGTAAGGAAATAGTACTTCCTTACTGAGGCTTACTACTGAGCGTACAACTCGAACAGTCTCGAACCAACGATAGGGTTCCAGACCTTTCAGTTCGAGCCTCCAGGGACTTTCCGGAACTCGCTTCGACAAATCAAGGCCCTTCGACACTTTTCCCGAACCTTCCGATCCAACGTTAAGGATCTCCCTAAGTTTCCTATATATTGTGTTGTCGTTCATTTTATTGTCATTCACTCGTTCACATTTTCGCCATTGCCCTCCTCGCTACTCGGCAGTCCCATTCATAACACCTGGATGCTTATTGTCAAAATTTGAAGCCACGCACATTTTTTTTTGGCACGGGCTGAAGTGGCGCGATGGTTTTTTTTTTCCGCCTTGACCCACGCACGCAGTGCGAATGTCTCGTTAGGGAGGAATCCTCTGTAAAAAATAGCTAACCAGGTGGGCCTTAAAAACTGTAATGACAAAAAGCGGGCCCTCACGAGGACTGCCAAAATAGCTCTTCCCACACTCGGATCAAAGTCCCATGGACTCTCTTACCGGCGGGTCCTTTATCTAGGAGATTACAGTACTACCTTCTTCAACCCCCTTAGCTTCTTTGAAATGAGGATGGGTGAAGGGAGGGTGTGTGTGGAATGGAGATATTGGAAATGTTATACTGCATTTTGGATTTTGTACCATGGATTTTATGTAGCAAGTGTTATAATCACAATAGGCTCAGATGTGCCTAAAATGAGAGAAAATGTGCACAGTCAGAATTCCATCAGCCAGCTTCAAATATTGATGCCGATCTGATTTGTGCCTCAAACGGTGATCTGTAAATTGGATCTAGAGCGCGTTGCTCTCGCCTATCAGCAGCAAGTTGAATCATAAAATTCCATGAAGATTTGACGACGCTATGGCGGTTTGACTGGCAGGAGGTACAGCAGCCACTATAGTCTTAGGAGTACAAAAAACTTAGGAAGAAGAATTCGAGGTAGGGATGGTTCCCAGCCTCTACATACCCCAAGAGCCGAGTTCCAAGTTGGTGGTACACCACCACAGAGTCCCCAACCATGTGGAGACTCGAAACAAACCCAACAAGGGGCTACACCAAGTGAAATGTAACACTAGTTGAAGTAGCATTACTATTTTCACTATTTAAATATTTGTCCACGTTCCTTGGGGTTGAAATATTGAGCTCTTGGTCTTGGTTCAGCAAGATCAATTCTTCCTGAGATGATGAGGGCTTGCTGCACACACCTGCGATGAGATGGACACTTCACACTCGACAAAATAGAGAAAGCACATGCGACGTGCAAACGACGACTTGACATGCGAGTTGTAAAAACTCACTAATGTCTTGACCGACACACACCACATTGTGAGACACCATTCAAACACACACACAAGCACTAGATAGCAATGAAATAGACTCACAACTCATTCCATGCCATGCATGCACACACACAAACAAGGACGGCAAGCCGAGTGCAAGCCATAGGGTTGCACCAACAAACTCCCCCTCGGATTGTTGGCCTTTGAATCTGCTCCCCTTAGTTCAGAGCCATCCCAGCAAGCTTGCAACACTTCCAATGCTGCTGCTCAACCAGCCTCTTGGTTATCATATCAGCAGGCTGCGCCGTCGTCTTCACGTAGTGCAACTCCACTTCACCCGCGGTTACCATGCTCCTCACCCAATGCCACTTCACCTTCATGTGCTTGGTAAGGCCATGAAGAACGGGGTTCTTAGCCAATGCAATAGCACCCTGGCTATCACAGTAGAGTGGGGTAGGTCCTTGCTGCTCCTCCCCCAATTCAGCTAGCAAACGTCGCTGCCACACAACCTCTCTTATGGCACGGAAGAGTGCCATGTACTCGGACTCCACCGAGCTCAATGCTTGGTCCACTTGTTTCTTGCTCTCCCAAGCTGTTGGTCCTCCACCAACATAGCAGATGAAGCCTCCCACACTTGTCATGTCCTCTTGTTCTGATGCCCAAGATGCATCAGAGAAGGCGGTGAGAAAGAGCCTCCCGGGTGCGTCTCCATCCGCACCCTTTTGACGCCTTTGTGCCGCCGCAGAGTATTGCAGTCCAACAGTTGCTGTTTGGCCAAGATACTTGGCCACCCTCTCTCCAGCTGCTACCTGCTCTTCATTAGGGCATTGGACAACCCTAGCTAGCTGCCCGGTAGCAAAGGCTGCATCCGGCCTTGTGTGAACGGCCGCATACATGAGGCTGCCCACCAAGGAGTGAAAACGGCGCCTCTCCTCTTCACCAACACTTTCCTCTGCTGGTCCCTTCACACACTTGAACCCTGAGGGTAGAGGAGTAGCCACATGGCCTTCACTCTTCCCAAAGTTTGCAGCCAAGGCCTCCAAGTACTTCTTTTGATGCACTCGCATCCACCGCTTCTCCACATCTCGCTCAATGTGAAGCCCAAGGTAGTAGTTGACGTCACCAAGGGTCTTGCACTTGAACTTGTCTTGAAGCTTCAGTATCACCTCCTTCACAAGGTCAGAGGAGGGTGAGAATATGAGGATATCATCCACATAAACCACCATGAAGCTCCTCTACTCCCCCTCGCAAAGCATGAACAAGGATTGATCGGCCGTTGAGGGAGTGAAGCCGATCGCCTCCAAGACTTCTCGCAGCTTGATGTACCATTGCCTAGGAGCTTGCTTGAGGCCATAGAGTGCTTTCTTCAGCTTCCACACTCTGCCACTCCCATCATTGTACCCCTCTGGCTGCTCCATGTAGGTCTCTTCCTCCAAACCTCCGTTGAGGAAGGCCGTTACGATATCCATTTGCTTCACCACCCATCCTTTGATGGCCACCGCGGCGAAGAGGGTTCGAAGGGTTGTACCCTTCACCACAGGAGCATATACTTCATTGTAGTCCTTCTTCTCCTGCTACTGGTACCCCTTGGCTACAAGTCTACTCTTGTAGCGCTCAATGTTGCCGTCGGCGTCGGTCTTGCGCTTGAAGAGCCACTTGGAAGAGATCGCCTTACGCCCCGGAGGTAGGTTCACCAAGTCAAACGTGTCGTTCTCGATGATGCTCCCCATCTTTTCATCTGAGGCCTTCTTCCACTCCTTCCCATTGGGGCCCTCCCAAGCCTCCTTGGGATTTGTAGGCTCCCCCGGTATCTCCACCGGAGAGAAGAAGGCAAAAGCGCACTCCTCGCTTTCATCTTCCTCATCATCGCCTAGCATGAGAGCCGAACCGGTCAAGGTTGAGTTGGCTGGTCCTCCAAGCCGTTCATACCTCAAACTATTGGGGGGCTGAGTCTTCCTTCTCCCCCTTCCTTCCTCCTCTGCTGCAGGGACTTGGATGCTCTCATGGCGTTGCTGCAAATTTGCTCGGTTCCCACGAGCACTTGTAGCACGAGGCGGAAGTGACGGTGCACGCTCATCACCTTGCTGCACCTCCTCCTCCTCCTCATCCCCATTCATTTGAGGAGATTGCCTCGTGACTGTGCTGCTGCTACTCAGCTCCAAGGGCAGCTCAACATGCTCCAAGCCGGTACTCTTCACCTCTCCAAGCCGCACACCAACCTTCGCTTGGTTCTCCGCCTTCCACTCCTTGTACGGTAAGTTCTCCATGAACTTGCAATCTCTGCTCACCAGGAACTTCTTGGTAAATGGGTCCCAAAGAAGCCATCTCTTGCTGTTTTGAGCCATGCCCAGGTGCACGGCCCATGTTGCCTTGGCATCAAGCTTGTTGTGCCGAAGTTTCTTAGGCACAAGTGCCATGCACATGCACCCGAACACCCGAAGCATATCCACCTTCGTCTTCCTTCCAATCCACTCCACATAGGGCACCCATTTGTCTTCTCCCACGTGAGTCAAGGCTCTGTTCTTGGCCACACAAGCATGCCGCACCGCATCCGGCCAAAAGTAATTCGGTAGACCGGCTTCAATGAGAAGTCCCCGAGCCGTCTCCGTGAGTGTCCGATTCGCATGCTCGGCAATGCCGTTCATTGCAGGAGAGTAGGGCATGGTAAGAGAGTGCCTTATGCCCTGCTTCTTCAGCCATGTTGAGAAGTCCTTGCTCAGGAACTCTCCCCCACGGTCAGTGCGAATGGCCTTCACAAGCCGGTCTTGTTGCCGCTCCACCATCGGCAACCAATCGGTCTTCACCGTTTCAGCCACATCACTCTTCTTGGGCAGCACATACACCCAAGTCATGCAAGTGTAGACATCCACAATAGTGAGGAAGTACTCAGCTCCAGCAGCTCCAAGCTTCAAGGGGCCCACCACATCCATCACCACCTCATCAAGTGGTGCCTTCGCCGTTGTCTCCGAGCTATGGAACGGGTAGCGGGTGAACTTGGCTTGCATGCATGTTGGACAGCCAAGCACCTCATTGGGCTCCCCCTTGACACGTATCCCACTGACCATCTCTTGCTTAACTATCTGCTGCAAAATGGGCAATGCCACATGCCCCATTCGCCGATGCAAGGTCAGCCAATCACACTCTCCCGTAGCGGAAGTCGGGTTCGAGAAAGCGGCACTCGCAATCGTGCCCCACAAGCTCTCTCCTTTCTCCTTCGCCGCTGCTGCTTTGCTGATCTTAGGATTCTCCTCCTCATTTCCACCACCTTTGGCTGCTGCACCACTCTCCTTGGATTCACACGCCTTGCTGGTCTCTCCAAGATTGCACTCTTTCGAATCACTCTTGGTGTCACTTTGCTTTCCGTGATCAACGCCACCAACCGCTTCACTCTTGGTGTTGATGCTTGCTGCCACTTGCCTCTCCTTAGGCATGTGGACCACTGGGATTTGCCACATCTCATTGTAGATGTCCCTGTCCTCATGAAGGTCCCAAAGCTTCCACTCACCAAGCCTCGCTGTATAACTTTTGGATCCCTTGGAAGATGTATCCATGCCTTTTGCAAACGCCGCACAGAAATCAGGTTGGCTGCAAGTTTGGGCACCCAAAGCACGTTCTTGAGGCCCACCATCTTCCCATCAGCACCCTTGAACATGGCCTTGCCCATGCCTTTCACCTCTGCTCGCTGCCCCAAAGCCGATGTAACATGCTTGACCGGCGACGGTTCAAGTTCGGTGAGCAAGTCCGCACGAGGTGTCATGCTATAGGTGGCGCCGCTATCGATCACCCAAAAGTCCAGAGAGTGAAGGGTGACCTTTCCCACAGTAGCTGGCTCCTCAAAGCCTTCCACACCTCCTGCTGCAGCTGCCGCTTGCGTGGAGACAAAGAAGAATTGGCCCGGGTATCGATCTTCATTCGGGCCCGTCTCGTAGTCTCCACCTTTCATGCATGCCGCTTCACTTCCACAACCACCACGGCCTCCACGACCTCTGCCTCTTCCTCCCCTTGCTCCTCTGCCCACTTGGCCTTGAGAAGGGGTCCATCCATCGGGCAATCGGAAGCAATCTCTCCACATGTGGCCGGTCTTGTGGCAAAAGTGGCATTCGCCATCAAATCGACCGCGCCCACGCCCGTAGCCATTGTTGTTGTTGTTGCTGCCATATCCTCCATTACCACGGCCTCCATTGAAGTTACTGCTGCCAAATCTTCCTCCTCGCCCTCTGCCCCTTCCACGGCCGTGCCCACGGCCCATGCTTGCAACTCCGGCACCATCGGTACCCGCGAATTCACGACGGCGGAAATCTTCTTGTAAGATTTCCCGCTTCACATCTTCGAGCGACAGGCGGGGCAGATCTCGATTTAGGTTGATGATGAGCGAGGACCACGAGTCTGGAAGCAAGGCCAGCAGCTTGGTCTTCTTTTGAAGGTCACTGTAGTTCAGGTCAGCTCCTTCAAGCCGTGTCAACAAGTCGAAGAATTTTTGCACTCCTTCCTCCACCGGTTCGCCTTCGTCAATTCGAAGTGCCGCCATTTGCCGCTCTAAAACCACAGCCACCGCCGCTGTTGCAGGAGCGTGTACACCCTTGAGAGCAGCCCATGCCTTTGGTCCCTTTGCTGGTTCACGCTGAAAAGGCTTGATGTGACGGATTTGGCTGCTCCCCAACGCTTGCCCAAGTAGAAGGTAGCCTTGTGCGCTCTTCCGCACCCACGGGCTCTTCTCCGGATCGTTCTCGGGGCGCTTCTCTGTTCCTTCCATCACCTCCAGCAGATCATAGTGGTCAAAGATGTTCTCCATCTTGAAGGACCACTCAGCAAAGTTGTCACCGTTGAACTTGTCAAGGCCAAACACTCTAGGCTCATCCCTAGAGGGGCCAAGGCTAGGTTGCACGGGAGCAATGGGTGGATCTTGGTGTTGACCTTGTGCTTGGGCGTCATCTCTGCCTCCAGCACCTCTGCCACCCCCTTCCTCAGGTCTAGGCATGGTCGAGACGGCTCCAAGGGGCTCTGATACCACTTGTTATAATCACAATAGGCTCAGATGTGCCTAAAATGAGAGAAAATGTGCACAGTCAGAATTCCGTCAGCCAGCTTCAAATATTGATGCTGATCTGATCGGTGCCTCAAACGGTGATTTGTAAATTGGATCTGGAGCGCGTTGCTGTCGCCTATCAGCAGCAAGTTGAATCATAAAATTCCATGAAGATTTGACGACGCTATGGCGGTTTGACTGGCAGGAGGTACAGCAGCCACTATAGTCTTAGGAGTACAAAAAACTTAGGAAGAAGAATTCGAGGTAGGGATGGTGGTATAAAAAAACTTGTCACGCGATATTGTGGATTGAAAAAAGGGGATGAGGCTCCGCAGAGACACTCCCATATATGAAGCAGCATCAGATGTTGAACAAGAAAAACAAGGCAAAAAATATTAAGAGTTCATTGTTAAAGTTCATACAGATGCTAGGTATATATATTCTCAGGTACCAGTTAGGTGCAGACTACAGAGCTATTTTCTATAACACTAAATACAACACATTATTTCTGATTACCTTTGTTCGTTGATTCTCCTACCTCGACATGTTATAGAGCTAGGTAGTTCCCTGCCATCGCGCTTCCGCCCTAGGTACTCCCCTCGCTCTAGCCTATGTAGTTCCTAGTTCCTACGCCCATTCCTAGCCGCCCGCCCCCCCCTAGTCCTAGCATGCTCGTTGCCCCTGCCTGCTCATGCTGCCCGCAGCCACCACTGCTGCCGCTCGCAGCCCACTGCCGCCGCCGCTCGCATTCTGCTGCCGCAGCCAGCTCGCTGCCCATTGCCAACCACTCGCAGCTCACTGCCCGCGCCGCCTGCGCAGCCGCTTGGTGCTCGCACAGCTGCCCGCGCAGTCGCAACCCCCGCTAGTAGCTCGTTGCTCGCAGCCGCTGCTTGCCCGCCGCTCGTCAGCTGCTGCCGTTCGCCCACAGTGAAACAGCCACTAGGCTGTTTGGAGTATATAGAAGAGGTAAGAAGTATTCTTGGAAGATTTAAGCAAAGAATTAGCAACGAAGCTTTACTAGAGATCATATGATGGCTTCCAATCAAGAAGCACACCACTATATACAAGGAGAATGACTAAGGTGCCTTGAGAAGGTCACCCAAGTCGCTTCTCATCTTGCTAAGCCAAGAACAGCAAAGCATAGGTAATGATTGCATGCATGCATATTTAGCTTGGCTGGAATTCTAGAAACTAGCATACATAGTCTAGGAATTAACTATTACATCCTAGCATAGTCTTCCTTGCACTGCTGCTGTTGACGCTGTTCGCAGAAATGATGAGATATAGCTGTGCTGGTAGAAAATATGGTTCTAGTTGCTTTCCGCTAGGTGCGCTGTCGATAATTATACTGCGGTGTTTGGCTGGGTTGCGTACTCTCTGTAGTTTCCAAGGTTGGAAACTCATATTGAAGGTTTCATCAATTCGAGGTTGGATTCAACATTCGAATTCCCCAAGGGTGTATTTGGAGGTTGGGTTTCAACCTTGAATTTCGTTTTTGTTGAGATGGATAAACTTCATTAACTAGATGCCG